AATTAAATCAATTTGTTGTAATTAATTATCTGATTTTCAGATTTGAGTGTCTCGATAATCATTAAAGTAGCGTTTAGTATGTAGACAGGACTAGACAAGACAGAACTGAACAAGACAAAAGGGTAGGACTGGACAAAACAATAGTATGTATGGTGTTTGATACGATTAGGACTGGACGGGACAGAACTAGACAAGCTACCTCCAAAAGTTATTTGATGATTTTAAATATTATATAATAGTTATAATTAACACAAATAAAGTAAATAATTAAAAATTTTAATTTATAAATATTTGTACACAATTTTCATATATATATATATATATATATATATATAATGGTACCAAATTTGAATAAAAAATTTGATAATAATTGATGGTAGTGGTGGTGGTGGAGGTGGTTTTGGTTATAGTGGTGGCCAACGGTATAGTGGCAATGGGCAGTGGTGTTCGGTGGCCAACGATGGTTGTAGAGGTGGCAATGGAATGGACAATGGTGGTTGGTGGTTGACGATGGTTGTGGAGTTCATGAAGGAGGTGGTTGTAGTATGTCAACATGCAATGTTAGTCAACATTAAGGAATGTTTCACTTGTGAAAGAAAAAACAAAAAAAAAAAATGTTATACAAGAATAAAACATGTGAAACAATATGAATCATAACTTAAAAATCAAACTCATTGGATGGTTTTGGTTGATTTCACCGGTTTATTTTTCACATGTGTTATGAAACAATACATGAAATTGATTTTTACGGTTCCTAGCTTTTAACGACTTTCTATTTAATCTGTGGTATGTGTGTGTGTGTGCCCGCACAATCACGTGTCTGTATATGCATTGTTTTTGTATTAGACATAACTGTTTGATACACTAGAGATGTTGTATTTTGCAGTTCTCAAGTTTTATCAAATTATGAGTTCACAAACAAATGTATCGAATAAAAAGTTCAACGATTGATAAACAAACACGTCGATCTATGATTCACCAACTTGTTTGATCACTCCACTTTCTCGGCATTATTTTGAGACGTCGATTCCCTGATATGAATTCTTTTAGTTAGAACTCAAACGTCGTCAATTGATTATAAGAACCACTATTTTCCTTGTCTGAGGAAAATTTACACGATGCAACTCAGTCAAATAATAAATCATTTTACAAGTACTGATATATCATTATCTAGATAACAACATAAGTGACGTCTATGATATTAAATACCTCTTGAATATGTATTTCTTTTTGGTAACCATAGATTTCCGGGACAATTTATGCACACTGATTAATTTCCCGCATGAAGTAATCGCCAGTGAACCTTCATGACAACAGGGGCTTTTGTAGCATTTGGATTTGAACCCAGGGTATATGAATATTTCCACTGCATTCTTTAAGATTTAAGCAGTACGCCATAACCCTAATAGGTACTCTGGTATTGGCATACAAAGGGATAAAGTGTGTATTGTCAAATAATGCATTGTTCATATATAGTAAATAAACGAGCAAAATATTTTTAAATTAAATGAAAAAAATAAAATAATTAAACATAAATCGACTTTATTTTAAAATAAGTGTGTTTAAACAATCAGATATGATTTAAAAAACAATATTATATACGGTCCCTCCAAACTTTTTGGGTTATATCCGGAATTCGTGCACGAAAAAAATATGGCATACCATACTTTGGTTTAAAGTGATATACTAAACAAATAGATTTTCAAATCTTTATTTTGAAAAAATAACTAATATAAAAGATTTTTAAGAAATCAATAAATATTTTTAATATATAATAGAAGACACAAAATCAAAACAAAAAAAAGGCGGTCTTCATTTTGTTTATATAAAATTAATATTTTTAAGAGGCATAACAAAGATCGAGGATCTTACATGGTATATGAAGAAGAAGACTCTTAACCAGTAAGCGTTAATCGGATAAAATGTTTACCAACAATCCATTTTGATGGTCGAGAATTTTACATGATAAGGTAAGTGAGGTGGTGCTCTTGGAGTATGCCCTTATTCGGTAAATGTTTGGTGAACGACTCTTAACTTTGCTAAATGAGGGGTATTTTAGTCTTTTTATCATTTTCCTAATGTTCTTTCAAAAGTAATAAAATAATACATTATATTATAAACTCGGGATCATGTAGGAACTCTAAAATTCATATGAACCAACCATAACCTGGATGAAGTACGTGTTTACCAAACGCTTACGCAGGTAAGTGAAGATTAAGTTATGTTACCTTATCGGATGAATATGTAAAGACCAAAAATCTTACTCGGTAAGAGCGAGACAAGGAGCAAGAGTCTTACCCGGTAAGTGAGAGCGATGACTCTTACCACGGTAAGCGTTTACCGGGTAAACTATTGCATATGATACTGTTTTTGTGAACTAAAATCTTACCCGGTAAGTAAATGATAGTGTTAAATTTTATCGACAAACGCTTACCGAGTAAATGTTTAATAAACGGCCCTTAGTTGATAGACATAGTGATTTTTTTTGGTAAGCAAGCGGAATTTCGATGACAAAGCTGATGGCAAACATGGAGGTTATATGATATTGCTTAACCTTCATTAGATAACTTAATACATCTAAACTATGTTAACATTGATTAACATTAAAATATTTAGGGGGTGTTTGAGATTGCTTAATTGAAACAACTTATGTTTTTGTACAAAAGTCTTTATCAATTTATTATAAGTTATAATGGTTTAACTTTTTCAAAAACTCCTTATTACCGGTTTGACACAGGTATAAACTATTTATCCAAACACTCAAAAGTGCTTAGTACCGGTGCCACACAAGAATAAGTCAATAAGTTGTTTTTATAAGCAATCTCAAACACCCTCTTAACCTTAATATATATTAACATATCATAACAACCTTGAATATTCATGAATATATATATATATATATGATTATTATACAACCCTTTACATTTGTACAACCAATACAACCCAATCTCAACCGTCCATTTAATTTGATGAATATGCGATTTCATAAAGATTTTGATTGTTTTCTAATATAAAGTATTGATCATAATTAATGAACCCTATTCATTTTCCATAAATATTCAAATCATAATAAATGAACTTTCATCATTTCCATAAATATCTCAATTAATTGGGTTGAATTTGTTGTATAAATGAACATGGTTATATTTGAAATATACCCTATATATATATAGTCTTAACATATATTAACATGAAAACATTCTTAACATGCAATTTTAACACACTTTAACTCATGTTACACACATTAATTATGAAAATCTTTTTTTATTAACCTGGATATCCAACCTGCTATGCGAACCGACTAATCCCAGAACGACCACCTGCTTTGCAGATAGCCCGGGCCCTAGAGTCACCGCATTTGAACCTCCATGGCCACAAAGGAGATTTTTATTCCTCCTTGGATTTGAACCTGAGACTTCCTGGTACTTTTGACATTTGAAGCCAAACTCAAACCAATCAGGCACCACTCTTGTGGTTGAAAATCTTAACTCATGTTACACACAAATCTTAACCTCGGCTATAATGTTGCATGAAATGACATTTTATTAGTTTTTCTTAATTTTTATATCCGTATTATCGACGTTGAAATCGTACATGGACCCATAAAAAATGTTTTTATTAGTCACTACCATTGTAGAGTTTTATAGTTGTCTTTAATTTGATAGGTTGACAATAATATAACAAAAAGAAGTTCTTATAGGTCCACTGAATTGGAAATGACCTCATACCTACATCTATTATATTGTTTAAAAGTCATATATATTCATTTTAAAAGAAATTACGTTTTTGAAGGGTGTGATCATATTGTTTTATTGGATGCCACCATTTAGTTTTTGAAATTAAAGTCTTTGGCAATTTGTAATTTTAGAGCTGTTTACTGTTGCTCATTTTGTCTAAAACCCCCGGGTTTGAATCTTACTTTTGTCAAACTTTTAAGCTTTCAGCTTAAATTTTGGTGTTTTTATTTAGCTCTTATGTTGAAATAAAATTACAGCTAAAACTCAAATTTGGGTTGCTTATATGCAGAGATAGAAAATCAAACCAACCAATCTATACAGATATTGTAAAATATTTCTAAAGGTGTTTTTTTTGTTTTTTTTATTAACTCGGATATCCAACCCGCTATCGAGCCGACTAATCCCAAAATGACCACCTGCTTTGCAGATAGGCCGTAGTTACCGCATTTGAACCGCCGTGGTCACAAGGGGATTTTTATTTCTATTGGATTTGAACCTGAGATCTTCTGGTACATTTGACATTTGGAGTCAAGCTCAAATTAATCAGACACCACTCTTATGGTTAAAGATTTGTTTTAATAGTCACTTAAAAAAACGTGCTGACTATTACGAAGATAAATTTGTTTAAAGTGAATAATAGATACGTAATAACTTATCCAATTCAATAAATTTCTTATTTCTTAAAAACCAAGGAAAAATGAAAACAAATAAAACATCAAGCTCGTTAAACAAAGGCAATTTGTTTAGTCAAGTTCTAATTAATCCTAGTCATGTTAAATACACGACAACAACTTATTTTATCCAATTATCTGTTTACCTTTTAATAGTTCTATTAAGAGGTAATATCTGAATCATTAAGAATTGAATATTGTTTGTCAAAAAAAAAAATAAAAAATTATGTCTCTTAATAATTTTAAAACTCTCTAAATGATTTTGTATCCTGTGCCTCTCTTTACCATTTAGCATCCTAATTTCATTGTAAACAATTAACAAATAATTATATTTTATTTTACATTATATCATCAAAACCACTTAATTATTTTAACCATTTAATCATTTTACATCAAATGCTATGCTAAAAAACAAATATAAATGTTTATTATGATTTTAAACCTTTTAAGTTCGCAAATAACGACAGGACGCCTCCAAATCACCCCTCAAATATTTTAAAAATGGACAAAGGTGAAATGGGAGATTATTAATAAGAAAAAATGTGTGCTATTTGGTCCTAAATTTTTGATCCGTTGCCTTTTCGAAAGAACCCTCTCGCAAATCGGTAAAAACCCCAGGGTTGTCTGCAATTCCCCAAATCAAATCCCTCTGCTCACTCTCAGTGAATCAGTCGTTCTTGCTCCTCCGTGATCGGCGACTAGTGACCTCCGTCAACTGTGAAGCTGTGTGAAACTCAGGCGAGGCGGTTAACTCTAGTCATGGTGTTGTTATTACTATGCTGATGTCGCTTCTTATGCTGTTCATTTCTTCTTGCATTTCTTGGTAACATACTAACATTCCGCACTCAGTAATTACATTTGCAATGGAAATTTGTTGAATTATCTCACTCTTTGTTTAGCAAGGAAGGCATAATTTACGAAGTTTTTGGTTTTTATTCTTCAGTAGGTTAGCTTTTGATAGGAATTAAAGCCTGTTCGATTGTTGTTGAGGATTCCTTTAGTTGACTAGGGAATATTGTTTAGGGTTAAGAATGTTTCTTGTCATTCAGATTTGTGACATTTTATCTGGTAATTGCAAACTTTTATTTAGACATGGATTTGGGGAAAATTTGCTTAGCATTTTGCCATCTCTTAGAATTATATTTCTTTTGAACTTTTTAACGTAGTTTTGTTCTTATCTAGATCTGAAACCATGCAGATATGTTTTGTCGTGCTAGATTGGGAGGCTGGTCACATTTGCAAAGCTTAATGCTTGGTATATACAATATATCTGATTCTCTATGGTTTCAATTTATTCCCTATATGTACATGTGGAAGTGATTGAGCTGATATAGCTCTTTGATTTGATTATGAAGTTTTGATAAATCATGAGAGTCATTTCCTTTGTATTGATAACCACGGCAGAGAAGATGTGCCCTAGGTATACGTTAATGATGAGCTTATATGATTATATCTAGGAATAAATAAGATCTTTTGGCATCTACAATCATAAGCAGAGAACAATGCGATGGTCATCGGTTCGATTCCGATAATTGACGTTGGGATTAGTTACTAGTTCAAATTTAGATATCTGTACCCTGTCGAAGTAAAGAACCATGGCATATATGTTTGGAACGGGAATTGAACCCGCGTCTTCTCCTTGGCAAAGAGAAAATTTTCCAGATATTTTTTTAGATTTCGATATCAAAAAATGGTTCGAGAGACAATAACAGTATCTACTCGGACAGTACAGTGGCAGTGTGTTGAATCAGCAGCCGTCAGCACTGGTTTAGCTTACGATGTGTTTGAAAGCCCTCGGCCAAATGAGTATTTCACAAAGAACCGACAATTGGTAATAATGTAACAATTTTGTTTGTAGGAACAAAGAGAAGCAGATTCATATTTTTCCACCACGACGTGCATTTCGTGTCATTGCTCGCCGACCTGCTTCTATTTGTGAAAACTTCATCCTCAATTCTACAAGAATTTTTATCATGGTGGAGAAGATGTATCCTGGGTTTGATAGAGGAGGGTTTTCACTGTAATGATATTGTATCGATCAAAATCCACAGCTACTTGGGATGTGGTTACCAGAACCATGCTGCCCCCATGGCAATATGTGTGTGTGTTAAAATTGTATTTGAGGCATCCCACACGATGCCTATGTTTGACATTCTTCTGAATACATAAACTCCTTATGGGTCTGCTCCAGTCTAAACATATCCTTGGTGCTGCTTGAAATACCACTAAGCACCAACCTTGCATGATTCAACATACCTAAAGAGATCCATCTATTCGTGAGTATGACAACCTCCAATTTTACGCCCAATGCATCTAGAAGTCGTACCTCCCTATTTTTTCTTCTACTCCATTTCTATCTCTGCTCCTTGGCTTATTTGGTGTGATCCTATGTGCATGAACACCATAATTGATGTTGAAATTCGTTTTGTTCATAATACCACTATTTTTAAAGGACCAACTGTAGGTGGGGCTTCTTAAAAGGACTAGCAAAAACATAACATTTGTTACTCTTTGGTACTTGGGACATCATATTGTTTGTGGTACAGTTGTTTGTGTATTGGTTCTTCGGTTGGAATTAGTTTCAAGCTTAGCAGAGAGTACTATAAAAAAGGATGAGGAAATGCAACAAGAGTTCTCACTACTACACTACTTGTTTATCATGCATACTGCATTATTTGTAATCTTGCGGCTGTCCACGTTGTACCAGTGGCTTTGTCTGAGCATTCACTATAACGTTGTTAGTGTGCCTAACACTTGAGCACTCTCTTTTATTGCTGCCTTGCTTAATTAAGTTATCATAAATATGCTAATCAGTATTCTCTGACCTCTTCTTAAAGCAGTGTACATTGGAAGGTTTATGAGCAATTGACTTCATGGTTTTAGAATTCTGAGCACTCAACTCTATGAGCATGGACAAACTGATCCCAGACTGCCCATACCCTGGATGTTTCTTTTGTGTCATGAAAGAAGGGAACCCAAACAAGCGGAGAGCTAGCATCATGAAGTTTTTCCGAGAGCTTCCTTCACAAGATGACGATGGTCAAGTTCTCCCTATAAGCGGTCTTTGGAATACGGCTATGGCACACCCTAATGATCCGGAGTTCATTGAGTTGGGTATATTTGAATGCATGGCAGCACTCATATGGAAGGGCTTGAAAAATCGCCGCTGGTTGTCTCATGATCAGAATATCTATATCCCTTATTATGCTGCACATATAATTGGATCCTACACCATGAACATGGAAGATTTTGCTGAAACTGCCATCAATGCTGGGGTAATCCCTCCTTTGGTTGAACTTCTAAGGGGTAGGTTGACTTGGGTTGAACAGAGAGTTGCTGTACGAGCTCTAGGGCACTTAGCTACATATGCAAGTACTTTCCCTGCTGTAGCAAATCATGGAGAGATCCTTGAGCTTTGTATCCAATTAGCAATGAGTTCCCTTGAGATTGTCTACTCTCACTTTTATCAGAACGCTGACAGAAGACTTAGTTATCATTGTGATCTTCTTACACGTGGTATGGGTGGTGTAGAGATGGAATCGAGGAAAGCTGAGGAATGGGCTAGTCAATTACAGTGCTGGTCTCTTCAACTTATAAATTGTTTTGCCTTTAAGCCTGAGTTTCTTTCTACAATATGCAAACCAGAATTTCTTGTAAAACTTCCTGGTATGTGGGGTGGACTCGTGAATGAAAATTCACCAGCGGGTATTGGCTTACTAAGAACAATCTGTCATCATAAGTTTGGAAGAGGACCGGTTAGCAGCTGCCCTGGTGTAATCGAGGCACTATGTAATATTGCACGCTCATCGGATGACTGGCAATACATGGCTATTGATTGTCTTCTATGGTTGCTCCAAGACCCTAATACGTTCCATAAGGTAATATCTAATACACTGAAAAAAGTCCATTGAATAAATAATTTTTTTCTCAATACACTAGATTCTGGTAGAGGCTAAGTGGTTGGGTGGATAATCTCTAAAGAGCTATACATACAAACTTTGAATTTTCTATCCCACATATAACATTGTGCATAACAGATAAGTGATAACAGTCATGATCCACACCCATAGAACATCACGAAAAAAATGTCATGGTTTTGATATATCAATTGCTGTTAAGTAGTATTGACGAGGAAATGAAATGATAACAAGTGCAAGCAATTGGAAGAAATGTACAAAATTAGGAGAGCATGCCTGCTTGCTAAATGGCTTGGATAAAGTCAGAAACCCTAATAGAATTGGACAATTAGATTTCTGCAGTAATCTGGTAATGGGAACTCCTACACAGTACACATTTGCTCATGCTGTTTTCAAATTGATTGTTATCATTCTTGAAATAAAGTTCCCTTGTCACATTAGATCAATGTAGACTTCAAGTGTGCTGTACTGTATTAAAAAAAGGGTGGACGCCACCCGCTGAGGTGTATTAGTCAATCATGCAATATGTAATGATCATTCTATCAGAATTAGATCAGAAGAAAGTGATAGATCTCACGTTGGGACTCAGTTATAGAAGCACCAGTGATGACTCATGGTCTAAATTTGCTTTCTATGTATTTGTTACTGTTGCCTATAGAGATTTGCTTAAGGATAAAACACCACATTGTTCTGTCAGGCAGGACCATGAAAGTCACTTTCAGCCATTATCACTAAAGGTGGCAATTTAGTCCATTGACTGCTCTAAACAATCAAATAACATTCTCTGACTTTTAGGATGGGTCCTAGTGATAACACCCTTACCAAAAAAACCTACAAGGATTGAGCTGGGCTCTTGGTTCATGATGAGGTGTAAGACTCTATGTTCATCCTAAGGCTTTCCTTGGCCTGCTGATATGAGATGATACTATGATATGATATTGTACTATTGGACCTCGTTTCCACACTTTTGGTGATCTTACACCATCTTGATGTGTAAGTTACCTTATGATTTGCTGATTGGGTGTATGTTTTCACCTATGGTCTTTGTTTTTAAAGAAGGTTTTTCTGTCTCTAGATGGACTTGTATTTGCTAAACAAAGTATAATTTAGATTTATGATCTTAGTGTGGGATTCTAGGAATTTTGGAAGATAAATCAGTTAACACAATCGAGAGTTAACCAGAGAATTGGGAGAGGTTTGTTGGGAAGCTCAACAACCACAGTGTCATTTGCCCTGCAATTGACTGCTTTGTGTGTTACTTCGTGTCTGCTTCTGTCCTCCATGCTGATCATTGGGATGCTGTTCTCTGTTGCTCAAGGTATACCAAGGTGCTCTAGGACAAGGTCTTATGTACTGATATAGGAGACACCATAGAGCGGGAGGCTTCACACACGTAATCGGGGTTGAGGTTTATCAAAAACAGACCACTAGGGTGCTCGGTTGCCTTGGATCTACATATACCGTGGTTTTGTATATACTAACCTCCTGTGATGGATGGCCAAGCAGATAAAAAAGCTATTTCCCATTCCAGTTTAGAGTTGCTGTGTCGTGGGGCATGATAAATGTTCTTCCAAAGTTATATAGACTAGACTGCTTGTGTATGAGTTAAAGGTTTCTGGAATATGTTTCTTTTAATGTTACAGTTAGGCCGTCGTGTAATGGCGAAGAACCGGGGTTTCCATAACCTCAACAAAGTAGACTGATTTTCTATCTAAGGAGTTAGTGGTTTTGGGTACTACTAGTGAGCCTCCATTGGTCTAATCTGTTCATCACTTACCAGCTTGCCGTCAATTTAACAAAGCCTCTTAGAAAAGGCCCAAGTGACTTTTGAAAATAAACTGGAATAAACTGAAATGACGAATTTTTCTGTATGGTATGTACACGGCAATATACAATTATATACACAAACTAGGCTCAAATTCAATCCCCTTGAATCAAATCCCTGATAATTCTAATAAATATGTACTTTTATATTCCCTTAACCTTTTCATGGACAAAATGGCAATGATCTTGATATTTTTGTAAGTGCATTCTCACATGATGTATCAAGCATCCATGTGGGTTTCTCGAATCAGACAAATTGACATCATATTGTAAGCATGTTTAAAGTGGTGGTGACCATGCTTATGTCATTTAGTAAAGTGCCAGTGACGTTATTTGCAGTCTGCTAGCACCATCTATTATGCCAAATTTGCTCTATTGTGATCTCATCTTTAGGGCATGGATACACACACACAGTGAGACAGACAACACATCACACTGTTCATCTTTTAAATGGCTAGATATAAAGACATATTTGTAGTTCTTTTGATGGTGAAAATTAACCGTAAATGTTAACATATAATATTCCCATGTGCATAGATCAGTGACATGTAAGAGTCTGACATTGTATCATTCTGCTCCAAGGCTTTAGCTTGAGTGATTGCTCTGTTTTGCAAATTTGAAATTGGCTATGCTTTGTTTTTAGTGAGATTTAACTTGTAGGCTTGGATTGAATTTGTTCATGACAAAACATTTATCAGTATAACTAATTCTGTATGTCTTTGTATTGGATTCAAAAAAATTTGCCCTCCTTCCACGTGTAGAGAGAGCTGGAGTTAGGCCTTTGTATGACGGATTGAGTGGTGTGGCTGAGCCAGAGTGGCTCAGCAGTCGGCCTATCTTTCCGGCCGCACGCATAAAGGCAGAACTCATCAACTCAAGAAGAGAGAAGCCCCCTCTCAAGTTTAGGTTGTGAATGTTTCCCAATGTTACTGTATATTGCTGTGTTCAAAGAGTTTGTTGTCACAATTATCTGCTTGACATCATCAACTATTAAAATTGTTAAATCAATATTTTCACATTGATATTGAAGTTTGACTATTGTCAAGTAGGCAAAAGACTTGCTGGTTTTGATCGAACATAGATGTCTTTGTTATAGTTTCCTTTGAAGGCTGTCAAATTTTAAACTGAGCTGAACAGGAGGTTCTGCCAAGTATAGTGATGCTGATTAACAGAGATAGAAAAAACGAATATACAAGGGATAGCGATTGGTAAGGAATGAAAAAAGGTGACTACTTGTATGACGATGTCTTTGGCAAGTGAGGTAATAATTGAAGTCTAGGACCAAACCAGAGTCTAGTTCCAACTCAGCTACCTTCTCAAGTACTAACATGAATGATTTCTGCCTGCATATCTTCTATTATCATACAGGACTAATTTCTTTAACCCTGGGCCTGTACCAAGTTGGAGTAATTTGGTTCTGCAAGCATTTGATTTGTAACTCATGATAAACGTTCTGATGTAAAGTGTAATAATCTGTTATGTAGGTAATAGAGAAGGCAGCACCTGCAGTTCTGGACCTAGCAGAGATCTCAACTCTTGGGGATCATAAGAAGCTTGGAGATTCCATCCTCAATGTTCTCCAGGAATGCATTCAATCACATGGGACAGGTCGCAACTCTGTCAGTAATCGAACAAAAGAAGATGTTGAAGAAATATTGCATTCAAGGGAGAGATTCAAATGGGAAAAGAGTATGCCTAAAGAGGATCTCCATATTAAACAAGCTGCAGCGTTGGTTGTAAAACTGGAAGGCAATTCCCTATTTTCATCAGGAAATATCTCGGGAGCAGCATCAAAGTACTCAGAGGCACTAGCATTGTGCCCGGTAAGATCTAAGAAAGAGAGAGTTGTGTTGTACARCAATCGTGCCCAGTGTWATCTTTTGTTGCAACAACCATTGGGTGCTATAAGTGATGCTACTCGTGCTCTTTGTCTTCATWRCCCGGTTAATCGACATGCCAAAAGCCTCTGGAGAAGAGCACAGGCTTATGATATGCTTGGTCTAGCTAAAGAGAGCTTGTTGGATGCTATTCTGTTCATAAACGAGTGCTCTCAATCAACAGATCCTGATTTGTCTTCTAGACAGAACAAAGTCCCCGATTATGCAGAGCGGTTGGTTAAGAAGCAGATGCGTGCTGCTTGGTTGTTTAGGGAAGCTGCTATTAAACATGGGGGCATCGATTGTGAGGCGGATGTTGGCGATGTCTATGGGCAAGGAAGTGATGACTCTGAATGGGAGACTGCCAGTGAAAGTGATGTAGGAAATGATGCCAGAAAAGAGATGAGCAACAATGATGGTGAATGGATAAATGATGAGGGAATTACAGACAAGAATGACAAACATGCTACAAGAGGTACTGCCTCTTGGATCTCTTATGCTTGTTAACGTACTTCAACACTTTAACCTATATGCTGGTGTACACTGATACGAACTGATGAAATTGAATGAAAAGAATGAAAGCAAAATCACTCCAATGGCATTCGAGAGGCCATGGTCTCTCCCAAAGCAAAGCTCAAATCACAATTGACATGAAAAACAGGATGCCCAACAGAAAGTGCACCCCCACCCAACAAAAGGAATTCCTGCACATTATTGAAAAAGTAAAAACCCAAAACAACCCCTGGGCCTTATTCTATACAGCACCTATTAGAATAAAAGAAAAAACCCAACTCATTTGTTTCTTCTTTTGTACGTGAACCTTAATAGAGGTGTACCAATACTTCCCCCCAAAGAAAGCACCTTGTGCTCAAGGTGCTTATCAGGAAACCGCTGCAGCAGTGGGTCCAATAGTTCCCAAGAAGATTCAAAATCTGATAAACCCTTCCTTTTAACTAAGACTTCCAACTGCCTTGGATCCCCATTTGGCACTAAACGCACATCCATCAAGTCCTCCGGTTCTGCTTGTACACACCATGTCATCCGAAATTTGCGAGGGAATGTCTTTTGTAGACACACAACTTCCCATAGCTAGCCTCAGTTGCGATATGTGAAAAACTGGGTGGATTTTTACTCCATCGACAATAACTTCTTCAATTCTGCAAAAGCACACTGTGCCGCATCTGTCCATTGAAAGTGGTTCTTTTTGAGCAAATCCGTGAGGAGCGGCCACCATTCCATACCCTCTTATAAACTTCCGATAATAACCAGACAGGCCCAAAAATCCCCGTAACTTTGTGACCGTCGTGGGGGCTTTCCAATCAACTATGGCTTTGATTTTGGAGACATCAACCTCCACTCCCTCACCCGAAATAACGTGGCCCAAATAACCTAGCTTATCCCGACCGAACTCGCACTTCTTTCTGTTAGCGTAAAGGTTATGTTGAAATAAAATGTCCAGATCCACTCTAAGGTGTTCTATATGTTCATCAATGGATTTGCTATAAACCAAGATGTTGTCGAAAAACACCAAAATGTGGTTGGTGCGTTGACCAACCTGAAAGGCATTACAAGAAATTCATAATGCCCTTGATGAGTACGAGACGCCGTCTTCTGAACCTCTCCTTCTTCCAATCTGATTTGGTAATAACCGGATTTCAAATCCAGTTTCGAGAATACCCGGGCATCATGGAGCTCGTCCAACAGCTCATCTATGACGGGAATGGGAACTTATCGACCACCGTGGCTTTATTTAATGCTCTGTAATCTATACAAAACCTCCATCTTCCGTCTTTTTTTTTTTCATCAGCAGAACTGGACTCGAAAAAGGGCTCGAGCTAGGCCGAATAACCCCCGCATCCAACATTTCTTTTACCAACTTCTCGATCTCATCCTTTTGGTAGTGGGGATATCTATACGGGCGTACATTCACAGGTTTTGTTCCCTCCTTTAAGATAATCCCATGTTCTCTTCCACGAATCGGAGGTAGACCTTGAGGCATGTCAAAGACTCGATCAAACTCCTTCAATAATGACTCTAGCACCGAATCTTCTTCTTTTCCCGCCTCATCTCCAGCTTCACACGATCCTAACTCCACCAAAACACCATGTCCTTCCTGGATCACTTTTCCCATGGTTTTAGGTGACACTTTGGATCTGCCCAAAGTCGGATCTCCTTTCAACGACACCGATTTACCACCGATTGTGAATTTCATGATTTGATGCTTCCAATTTATGTAAATGGCCCCGAGTGACTCTAACCATTGCATCCCCAATATCACATCACTATTTCCCAATTGTATGGGTAAGAAATCTTCTACAATGTCCAGTCCTTGTATCATGAGTGTCACGTGCCTGCAAAAGCCTTCCCCTTGTAACGCTTTCCCCGTTCCCGTCGTGATCGTATACTCTCTCGTCTTCTCTATTTTCAAATTCAGTTTCCCAGCCACATCTTTTGAAATAAAATTGTGCGTGGCCCCACTGTTGATGAAGAATATCACTTTTTGCTCATCAACGATCCCCTCCATTTTCATTGTTTTAGGATTTGTTAATCCTACCACGGAATTCAGATGTACTTCCACCTTCTTACCTAAGTTGACAACATCAACCGTATTCAGAGAAATCTCATCAGTTTTGGATCCTTCCTCCTCATTTGTGTCTTCCTGTACGAGAATCACACTTAACGCCTTCTTACACCTGTGCCCTGGCGAATACTTCTCATCGCAACGATACCAGAGGCCCAGTGCTCGTTTTTGTTGGACTTTCTGGTCAGACAATCTTCTAAACTCGGATCCTGATCTTGCTGACGAATTGGACGACGCTACCGATTGAGTAGACGTGTTACGAGCCTCCGATCCCACACTCGAGCTCTTCCTATTAGAGATTGGAATTCGATCCCTGCTCAACAATTTATTCTTAACCTCAATCTTCGATGCCATCTCCATCGCATCACTTAATGATATTGGATTCATCAAGTGAACCTCCGCTTTGATCACGTTTTCTAAACCATTAATGAACTCGTTTAAGAAAACCTCCTCTGATATTCCATCTAGTGGAGCAGCGAACCCACAAATTTGCGACGATACTCGTCGATGGTTCCCTCCTGCTTAATCGCCAGAAATTGCTCACATAATGATCCAGCCGCCAGCGATCTGAATTGACTCAGCATCATACGCTCCAAATCTTCCCACCTGGTGATCGGGTGTCACTTGTGTTCCCACTGGAACCATCTTAGGGCATCTCCTTCGAAGGCAATAAACGACATCTATTTGTTCTTCCTGATTCAAACGATTCAACGAAAAGTATCGTTCGGCTCTGAGAATCCATCCGTCTGGATCAGTCCCATCGAACGCAGGTATCTCGAGTTTTCTTCCTTTCACGGATAAAAAACAATTATGATCATATCCTTCCTTCTCCTTTCTCCCACTCGATCCCGACGAATCCTCACCCTCGGAAATTGGACTTGAATTCAACTTACTTGTTGCCTCGTCCTGTTGCTTCAGAATTTTCTCCATCTGCTCGATAATCGTCCGCATCCCCTTTTCTATTGATCTGACGCTGCTCTCCAAATCCTCCACTCTTGTCGCTACACTACGGGTCCCCATATCAGAAATGTTGCTGCTCTGATACCAATTTGGTTTACACTAATACAAACTGATGGAATTGGATTAAAAGAATGAAAGCAAAATCACTCCAATGGCATTCGAGAGGCCATGGTCTCTCCCAGAGCAAAGCTCAAATTACAATTGATATGAAAAACAGAATGCCCAACAGTAAGTGCACCCCCACCCAACAAAAGGAATCCCCGCACATTATTGAAAAAGTAAAAACCCAAAACAGCCCCCGGGCCTTATTCTAAACAGCACCTACTAGAATAAAAGAAAAGCCCAACTCATTTGTTTCTTCTTTTGTACGTGAACCTTAACGGAGGTGTACCATATGCCAGATGTCAATCTTGCTCAATGGAAAACTGTGTAACAATCGATTATATCGAACTTTCACTAGTAAAGCATAAAACTATATCTAAAAAAAGTCTAAAATGTAAATGTTACGCTATGTTTCTAATACAGAATGCCGAAATATAGAGATAGGAGACCATGGATTTTGTTGCTATACTTGATATCAAGTTCAAATATCATCCTCATATTCGTTAATACAATAAGGGATGAGGTGAGGCCTGCAACTTGTAAATAGTTAATACAATAAGGGATATTCGGTGAATACATCTGTACATACCACTTGGGCTACACAGCCCGTCTAGGGGTCTATGCTGGAAAATAACTGAAGACAACTTATTCCAACACTCTTTATATATGTTGTTCATTACAGAACGTACAAGCTTCAATTGCAATAGGAGAAATAAAGGTGAGTGAAAAAGATTAGTGAGCGTAGCTACTAGACGTTGCCACATAAAATGTTATGTTAGTGCAATGACAAAAGTATACACACTGTTTATGATATCGATACTAGAATAAAAAATACTTGGCATCAACAAGAAGTGTTGGTCACACATGGGGTAAATGTCAATTAATTCTTCACATGTATAATCTTGAGTTTTTCCACTATCAACCCTAGAGACTATGATGGCAGCGCCCAAGACAGAAACACCTGTGTCCTGACCATTAATGCCTCCAGAAGATGGGCAATTCATATGGCAAATGTCAAGAAGTATATCACATGGGTAAACATCAATTGATTTTTCAACATATAGTCCTGAGCTGGTATTAACCATCGCTTTGCGTTTGAACTCCGTAGATTCAATAAGTGAACACCAATAGTAACCGACAAATGTAGAACCTGTGTATCACAAGGATAACACACACACACAAAGCAATGATGTCATGCAATTTGTCAAACCCTCTTATGCTAACCTTCCTTCTTGCCTGTGAACTTTTTTCCCCGATCACTCATTCAGTGACTGCTCTAGGGCCACTTATTTGGTCATTTTGAACTGGTTGTCTCATAGTTAACCTAAATAGAAAATGAGAATGGGAATAAATATATATATATACATATATACACACACACACACAGAGAGGTAGTACTAAACAAATTAGGAAGTGCAAAGTTGGAAACTGTACTTAGGTGGCACAGCCTGCAGCTGCCATCATTGAGAGAGAACCAATACTACGCTACTTAATTGATATAATAATTATTATTGTTAGATGGTGATTGATTATTCCAGGAGGTACATCAAGTCCTGCAAATGTGCAAACTAGGTGCGTTATAACATATTAGTTACGGTTCTTTCTTTTGGTTCCATTTTTGGATTACCCCAACAGGTTTGGGATAGGATGTTTGCTGCATTACCATTATGATCTAAAAATATATGAACTGTAGATCTAAAAATTGTGGGTTTATTCAAAATATATAAATCTGCTGTTCAGTTATTAACCCACTTTCTCTATTCTCACTTTAATTATGAATCCCTTTAGTCTTTCAAATTTCAATATTAGAACTGTAGATCTAAAAAATGTGGGTTTATACAAAATATGTGCTCTCTTGTTGAATTATTAACACACTTTCTGTATTCTCACTTTAATTATGAACCCCTTTAATCTTCGTCTATAAGTCAACTGACATAAGGCATATCGAACTATTTTAAGGTAGCAATCAGATCAAGTGTTGGTTGGATGCATTTTCTGTATACTTCTTTTTGTAACCATGGGTGTCCGGGCCAGCTTGCGCACCTCGACTAATCCCAGGGACCTGAAAATAATAGCCAGGAAAATCTCCAGTGGCCCTGAGGATACTCAAAGTTGATCTATGAGGAGCCCCAAGGCATAGGCTTAATTTGTCTGTTGAGCTGACCCTCAAGGCTCATACTTATATACACCGACTTGTAGGCAGTCTCCTGAAAGGAGATCTATTTTAGGCTCAAAAACGTTATTCATTATGCACTGACGATCTTTTCAAAATCATTTCATATTGCAAGATTAATATCATAATATGAGCAACAATGCCCTTTTTTAGCCACTAATGGAGTTTACTCCTTTCATGTTATCAATGCAGCATCATGTTGTGCACATCGACACAACTAGTTACATTGACATTTGTAATTTGTTGCAGAAATGAAACGTTGATCCAACGTGCAACTCGTAGAAGATGAAAACATGATAGTAATGGTCAAGACAAGCCGTAGAAAGAGAACCAAGCGGATTTTCATCTTTTCAACACTTGTGCCCGCCAGTCTTTGAGGTCCCTGCAAAGGCAGATGACCCCGTTGCTTCGCTTGCTTATATTGTGTTTGTATTTTCCTCTTCGCATATTTCGTGTTTAAATATGATTGCAATTTCAAACGATTGTACATTATTATAATTATTTCTTCCTGTAGTTTTGGTGTGCATCTTTGTTTTGAGTGATTTACGATGTATAGACCCTCGGGGACTTTTGAGTAATAATAGTTTTTAACATATTCGTGCACTCTTGAGTAGTTATAGTCTTACAACATGATATTCATGGTCTAAAACTCAAAATTATGATGTGATTTGCAGGGTGGAGACAAGGAGAATCATCTTTCTTGGCATTGCCACAAGTTGACATCTTTCCTCCTTTCTAATGGGTTTCTGCCTTCAATTTTCGCAAATTATATCGCAACTTTTTGCACAAAAAAGTTGGGAAATTTTTAGGTTGGATTTAATTGATTGATAATTTGTGATATTGATTTGTAAAAATAACAAAGTTAGAGGGGGTTTTGGAAAACATTTTGAATCTCTGAGAACCAAACAAAGGGGCTATTTGACAGTTGCTAAATGGTTTGGTACAAAATGATTAAGAGACTCTCATGAGATAGTGCAAAATGAAATATAATTATTTGGTAATTATTTAAAACGAAATTAGGGCGCTAAATGGTTAAGAGAGGTCCAAGATACAAAATCATTCAGAGAGTTTTAGAACCAATAAGAGATAGACTTTTTTTTACCAAATAAGATTCATCTTGTAACGATTCAGAGACTGCTCCTTAATGGAACTATTAAGAGGTAAACAAACAACCCTGAAGAGTTGGTGACTTGCGATCATGTGCATCAATAACCTACGGGTGTTCCCTGATCATAAATGACATGTTCACGTTATGAGTGGCATATAAGAGAACATCGTTGCTCATATCAAATCTGGAGACGATGATCTTGGAAATCATACCATTCCGTTTAATGGAGAATATGAATGGGATTTTTATAATAGGTTTGATGGTAAGACTCTTTTCTACCGCTACTTCCGGTGGGGTTCCAAATATAAAGAATTAGCTTTGTTTGATATGAAGATTACAGCTATATGTACGGTATCCACATTTACTAATTTAGATTGTTATTGGTCCAAACGACAACTGGATTTTATGTAGTGCAAGTAATAAATCATTAGGTGATCAAAGTTGGGCGTTTATAAAAAATTGGGGTCGAAATTAGTTTTGATCAATGTATTTTCTTTGTCATGCAAAACATGATATCAACATTTTAATAAATCTTGATGTATCAACATGACAATGACATTTGGATATAATGTTTATTTATCATGCGAGAAATAGACGATTTTACATAAAAGTTCGGTTTTACAACGTACTTTGATGCACTTAAATGTATATAAGCATCCTACTAAAAAAATGATCTTAAAATTATGTGATATTTACATATTTACTTATGTATAATGTTTATGTTTAGACTGTTAATGTGTTTTTTTAGGTCATGCCAAGGTGATCTTTATCTCTGATTATAGTATCACGTGATATGGGTTTTATTCGCTTTTTTATAAAATAGTGGTGTTTTCGTATGAACTCACCCCTGATAAACAATGTGCTTAACGGTTAGTGGGAGTAGAGACTCTATTCCCGCTATATGTAAGAAATTCTGTGGGTATAATATGAACTAGAGGTGGAAAAGTGGGTCAGACAACCGTTGCCTAGTGAGTCCGAATCTCGGTTGAAATTTCATGGACAAAGCCTTGAAAGCCTAAAAACCTGACCTCGAGAAGCCCGATCCTGAAAAAGAATATGATTTTGCTCACTAAGAACAAACTTTAAAGGCCCAGTCCATTCCCGAAAAAGCTCGATCTTTGTCCATCTTTAAGACTAAGTATATATTATATATCCAAAATATAAAATGAAACATTAAAATCAAGATGTATCTTGTTGCATTGTGCGAGTACTCTTTTAGTTTAATTAATAAGCATCTGATAATAAAGGATCAACATGTGTATATACTTTTTGATCAACTATCGGTGGATCAAACAAGTCGAATATGACTAGTGAGACTGCTATGAAATATTTACTCATGAGTGGGGCAAGCTCTTCTATTCTGGTTCATGGTTTCTCATGGCTAAATGGTTCATCTGGGGGAGAGATCGAGCTTCAAGAAATAGTGAATGGAAATGGAGCATTTTCGCATAGAAGATGTAAAACAAATTTTAGGCATTCTAGAAAAAAAATTAACCCCTCACGTACGAAATTATAGAAGATCCCTTTTAAGATCAAACAATTCCATCGAATTGAGTATGATTAACCGAGCATTCTCTCTAAAGAAAAGAGGTTATACATAGAATTCTCATTTTCTAATTTAGCTGGGATTTCCAGAAGAAAATGCCATTCGTTTGATGAGAAATAAAAAGGAATATCACTCGGAACGCTTTTTAAAGGATTACATGGTACGATTAGATCAAATAAGCACTTCTGGAATAAATATTCAGCCGCTTGTGAACCTTCGGGTACTGTTTTATTCAATGTTTGTTCAATTACTACGAGATGGGATGGGACTGGACAGAACAACCTCTTATTTATATATAAAAATCATGAAACATCAACTTGCCAATTTGCCTAAATCTTACCTGTTTCAAATAGTTCTCCTTCAGCATCACTTCTTCAAACTGCAAAATAAATCCAAAAAAATCAATGTTTAAACTGAACATTTACGATCTTTGTACTCATTCAAATTCTATTGAGTGATTCATCCGGGTAACAACAGATCCACCGAAAGCTTTTGAACGACTGATCATCTTGATTTATATAGGGATTTCCATGATATATCAAAGTCCTCGAGTCTGCTAAGTTATCTTTACAGTTCATATTTTATTTTAAGTTCAAATTAGATCTTAAAAGTTCCAATCAAAACACTTCTTGAACCGGACAACAAAAATATATAAATTTGTTATACAAAACTCATCTTGAATCAAAAACCGTTATTCTAAATCAAAAAATTTAAAAAACAAATCAAATATGTTGTACAGATGAAAGATGATAAAAGGAACATCTCGATGTTGACTGAGTTTCTTGATCTTCACATATATTATGCGCGAGAGATTTCGGTTGAGATGGTGCGCAAGAGATCTCGACCCCTTACTTTTTTCATAATTCTAGTTTATGCTTTTTAGTTTATTCAGATATAAGAATTGGATTGTATTGTGTCATTCGGCATATGTAATTCCTAAATCAAATTTCATAAAACCGGGACAATTGTCTCCACGCGTCTTACAAACTTTAAAAGGTCCTATTGTTAGTTCTTTACAAAACCATGGTAGAAATTTAAAACTGCCATGTACAAGTCACAATGCCCCCAAACGAGAAGCAAGATCAGTGAACATGTCTTCGCTGCATGGAATAGTGAGGCCACCCATTCGATGGTTGTACCCAAATTCTTCCTCTGCCTGATATAATAATTCTTGAAATGCAGGTTGGCTTAACAATGATACTGGAACCACAAATCTCTTCTTCTCTTGTTTCCCAACATAAACAGCAAAATAACCTTTAGGGATGGCCATGTATGTATTGCTGCTTCCATTTGACAATGATCGTCGGAGAATTTGTTTTGCTTGAATGATCCGAGGCATAAGAATGGCCATTTTTCTAAGGAGGGCACCTTCTGCTTTGTCGTAAAGACTGATGAAGGAAGAAAGAGCTCAAACTAATCCTTGGTGTTGTATGTTGTTGTTGTTGTGGTTGTGGTTATGCATATGGAATGGTTTATATAACCAACCGATATGCGGAGAGGTAGACCAGAGCTCATGCAATATCACATGGTTTTGTCTTCCAACACCATGGTCCCATGCATGAGGCTTATATCCATCAATGGCTGAATGGTATCTACAAATGACTAGTTAGCCGTATACCCCTCTACCAATCAGACCTTTAATTTGACCAAAATCGTCAAGACAAAACCATGTGATCTTGCAATTAATTATATCCATATACATGACACATCATCGGTGATCTTATTCTTGACAAGAAATGTGGTTATTTGATGCAAGTTGGAAGACACAACCACATGATATTGCAATTCTGTCTCGGTCCCTCCATCTGCCATTTAATTTCCCTTTTATCACCAATCCTACATTT